GTGAATTCCAGAAAAGTTGGAATGTTCTTTAAATTTAAAAACTAAAAGACTTTTAAATCACATTAAATATTATTATCTTTGAGTAATTCATTATCTGCAGTACATAATATCAAGAAAATATTCAGAGAATCTGGAGAAACGTTGTCTTTTCTTACAGAAAGGAACCAGTGAGCTTCTGAAGTATTTGAGAGGAAGAGTTAAAGGTAAAGTGGTTTTTTGCCCTACCTGTATATGTAAATGGGATACTAACTAGTAGTTATGCTATATAAATGAACGTGCTAACACCTTATTAATACCCTAATAATGCTTAGTAGTGTGATGGTATTGCTATCAATGCTTTAGTTCTTCTTGTCCTGGGTGCAAATCTACAGATTCTGCTGTCCTTACATGATCTTTTGTCTGTTTTTTGTAGAGGAGCCTGACAAAACAGATGGAGGAGATACAGCTATGATGTTACCCAGCCAGGCCAGGGTCAATGTGCATGACATTAAAACTCTCAAGCTGTTGGCATACAGGTTAGTTATATAGACTGGTTTCTGCATTTCCACAGGAATGTGCATGTACTCCGTCAGGGAATCAGAAAACTATACTCACCAGGCTCTTTGTGCTGGTTTTTGTCTTTGCTTTGTGCTGTTGGATTTGTCTTCATACCTAAATACTAAGAGAAAGATCATATGTGTCTTCATCCGGATAGGGGTTTGTGTTGGTGTGTGGGACTTTAGCCTCAGGCTTATAGTGTTAAATGGTGATTACAGGTCATTTTATGGAGAAACACAAAAGTAATGTAACGAGTAGTTACATTACTTTACATTACTAGGTTTATATCTGGGACTCTCCACCATTTGACCTCAGAACTGAAGAAGCTTCTCGGATGAGAGGTGAAACGTCTTCAAGTAACTTAAAGAAGTCCAGATGCTTTTCTTTGCAAGCTCCTTTGACTGTAACGAGTAGTGTAACAAATGACTGACTCGTGGGAGTAATTAAGTAACGTACGCCATTACTTTTAATGTTCTGTGTAATAATTACTGTTTTGGAGTAATGACCCAACACTGATCCCAACAAAGAGGAGAAATACCCCCAACATGCACAAACATTTGACCACATCATGAAATTAATTTGCAGAATGTAAAGTCTGTGATATGCAGTTTAGTTATGGTGGTAGCTCACAAAGTAGCACCAATAGCAATCGATGCGAGAATGAATAGTTAATCAAGTGGACAAGGGATCGAGACAATGGAATTGCTAAATTCTTATCAATTCCCATGCCTAATAATTATTGGTTATTACAGTATATTTACGCTAAATACTCCAATGTGAATGTGTTTGTGACCAGTGACAAGCAAGCAGGGAGTATCCCAGAGGAGCTGTTTGATGGTGCAGCTGGTCAGAGCATTGCCACAGTTAACTTCAGCAAAAACCAGCTGACTTCAGTTCCTCCCAGGTACACGCACACTCCCTCGCTCTCTTTCTTTCACACACAGAGCATCACTGTGTGACAGACGGTAAAGCCCCAACAAAAAGCCATTTTAATGCAGATGATTGCAGGCTAATCACACTTCTGTCTGCAGGCTGGTGGAATTCCAATCTTCGCTGTCAGAAGTCAATCTGGGTTTCAATAGACTGATCAGCTGTTCACCTGACATCTGCAAGTTACTCCAGCTTACACACATCGATCTCCGGTACGCAGACACAGCCGACACTCAGATATGGACAGAATCTATTTCAGGAAGCTCCCATTTATTATATATTATGCAAATTTTGAGTCCAAAGTACAGAAAGGACAGAAATCCACCGCATCATTCATGTGTGTGTGTGTTTGTGTGTTCTTTTGCTTTATTTTTGCCTTTCTAAATCAGACACCACATCATTGCAAACCACTGCCAACATTTTAGCTCTGGAGTCTCCCGTCCTGTCCTGTTTAAATTAAGCTATAATCTGACATTACATAATAATGGGTGTTGTTTTTAGTACTAGTCAGTAAGATGTATGAAACCTCTGAAAAGGGAAGGGTCAGGTGTTAATATTTTATGCTGTATTTGTTTCTTTCGTTTGTTTTAGGAATAATCAGCTGAGTGATTTACCGTCTGAAATGCAGAACTTAACTAAACTACGTTCCATTATCCTCGTTTACAACAGGTAACTTAACTCCACATTGCAGCCCCATCATCCAGCATTTTTTCATCACACCCCGCACACACATACGCAGCTGCTCGAGGGAGCAGCCACAGCAGTCCCAGCGCCTTACTTGGATTCCTCCTTGATGTCTGATCAGCTCTGAGGCGATCCTGACATGGCTTGCACATTACTCCATAAAGCACTTCAGTGCTGTTAGCTTGTAATGTTGTGTGTTGTGATGTTCCATGTACAGCTTGTGATCCATTGCAAGACCTTCCCTTGACTGACCTTTCTGAGCACCACATCTAAGCACTAAATAAAGAAGAGTGTGCAGGATGGAAAGATGGAACTCAGTGGGATGTGATCTAAACCTCTGCCCTTAGCAGCTTAGCATGAAGCATCCACTGTTGTCTTACTCGATCTGATTCCACAAGGGATGTCAGCTGACATGTTGATTCCTGCCTACAGTATGTTGTACAGTTTGGACCTCAGAATATGATGCTGTGCATTGAAAATGAAGTTAATCACAGACTAGACAATGATCCTCTGCTCTCATGAAACTAATAAGAAAAATATGTTATCGTCATGGTCTTAGCTACAAATCGCTTCACGTTGTTGTCACGGAGTTCGGCCTCCTCGCTTTGTGGCTCATAAACTGTAGGTAATGGAGCACATGTACAGTGGTTCAGTAAGTTGGCCTGTCTGACCTGTGTTTGTGTACTCGGTGTATTTCTGTTGCTCACAGGTTCAAATCCTTCCCTGACGTCCTGTATGAGACCCTTTCTCTGGAGACTATATTGCTTGCTAATAACCAGGTGTGTGAGGTGGATCCTAGTCGCCTGATGAAATTGACTCATCTGTCAACACTAGATCTGGCAAACAATGACCTGCTCAACATCCCTCCTGAACTGGGCCTGTGTACCAGCCTCAGGTAAGGACCTTACTCATTATTTATTTTATTTTTTTAAGTGAGATCACTTTATCCTGCTGGATAAAGCAGATGCTGACAACGTTTATCTTTGAGGACAGAATTTGAAGTTATAAATGACAATATATGCTTCTGTGAGCATGTCACAAAATGCTAAATGGCAATAATATCGTACCATGAGTGAAGTATCACGATAATATCATATCATGGGCTGTCTGCTGATTCCCACCTCTATACCATAAGTGCATCTACTTAAAATCGCAGCCGAGTTTGGAAACTGTGTAAATTCCTGTAAGATGTACAATAAATTCCTCACAAAATGAGTTGAATTTGGTGTTGTTCCTCAGGTGTCTGAGTCTGGAGGGAAATCCTTTCCGCACACCCAGAGCAGCAATTGTGGCCAAAGGAACAGATGCACTGATGGAGTATCTGCGCAGCCGCATACCAACGTGATTTGTGACCATGTTTGGAGGAGAGCACCACCACCGTGATCAAGACGTTTAAATGCAATCTTTTTACATTTTTTCACACATCTATGAAAAATGGTGCAGACTGCTTTTTGAAGATGTTAAGGGTAATAAAATTAAACCATTGATCTGTTTTTCTTTTTTCCATGGATGCGAGTCAGAATAGGATTTATATTGTTCGCTATTCTGCGGGCAGCACTTCTCCAAATAAAGTTGTTTGGCTAATTGTGACTGGTGTGAATTTCATAACATACTAAGTACAGCTAATAGCCCACTAAAAGTATGAAAACTAAAAAGTGCTGTTTATCTGAGCTCTGCATAGAGTTTATAGAACGTCTATACACACTACAGTCCATTTGAAAGGTTTTAGGTCCACTTTTCGGTCATGTTGTCAGATCAGTTCTTTTTCCCTCATTAATCACAGTTACATAACAGAAAACACCTTTCAGTGTAAATTCATTTATAAAAACATAGCTGATATGTCCAATATAGTAATTTTTACCCTTCAGCTGTAAAAGACTGATAGGTATTGTTGTCACCCTGCCAGGCCCGCGTGTAATGTTGAACACAATAACTTGAGAAAGACTTTCGATTGATTCCATAGAGACCTTGGTCAAGGTCAAGGTTAGAAGCCAAGTGTTCTGAAAATCTTGTGAATATGATAAGAAGGTGGTCAGAATTTTGAAAATGATAAGATAGGTTTGTCTACTAGGAGGCTGACAACACTGTCGAGAAAGGTGGGACAGAGAGAGATCAAGTCCCCCTGACATCACATCTGATTGGGGATAAAAGGTCTTAACATCCAGCCTCATGTTTAAAATGATCATAGTGCTAAAACAGAGCTTCTAGTAAATCATTGATTTTGATGGTCTGAGAGCAGAGAGTCTCTATGGGGATGCAGTTTGTGGAGGATGACAGAAAACGAGAATCTGCAGAGAGGCGTGTTAGACTGCAACTCTACTTCCTGGTCCCAGCTCTGGATAGTCATGTTTTGGGGAATTTGATACATTTGTTCAGATTTCTAGGAATGAGAGCTGCGCCATCCATAGTGGGATAGATTCCATCTCCCCAGCCACCTCCTCCAAGATTTGGGGGGACACCAAGATGTTCTCAGACCAGCCAAGTGCTCTGGGGCTTCAACCAGGGAAGCATCCTTGTCAGATATCCTGAACACCTCAACTGGTTTGTTTCAGTGTGGAGGAGCAGCAGCTCTAATTTGAGGCTCAGCCACCCTTCTTCTGCAGGACCATTGGGGTCATGTGTTGGTCAGCAGTGAAGGATGGATGTCCTGGAGGTGTGTTTCCTGACTTTTGAGGCTAGCTACTCTGATATTTTTTTAAATGCTCAGCAGCCTGGCTTATTAATAAACTACCAAAATAATAACACTTAATATACCAGCTTTCATGTCATGAGCACAACCAGAAGGAGTGTTTTGCGACTTCCTGGTTGTCCAAACTTCTTTTTTAATTAAAGCAGAATCAGTCCAAATCTAAAAGCAAAATCAAATGAATTTATTATTCAACCAAATTGCACAGACATTTTAAAAAAATGATAATCTGGCCATGACAGACACACAGATAGAGACACATGGACAAGAGAAACTACGACTTTGGAATCTCATAGTAACTACCACTAATATATCCCCAGCACTGGGAGAAGAGCCGAGTTATTTTAACACTCCCATGCAACTACAGGTCAACACACAACTTCTAGCATCCTATACGTCTTAGAAAAACAGAAAAAAGGTAGTTGTAGTACGTGTGTGTGTGTGCGCTGTTGGAATGACAGGCTGGTTGTTGGTCGAGACCGAGTATGGATGGTTGATGTTGAACGTGGATCTAAAAGTCTTCAGAGCACCACTGTATACCCACTTTTGCAAAATGGCCAAACTCCTTACAATATTTACAAAAATATAAAATGTAAATAAAAATACAAACAAATTTTCTTTTTAAACACATTTTTGTTACGAAAGGAGGACTGAGGTGTAGAAGGTTTGCTGGCTGTCTTTCAACAGTGTCGTCCTCCGTGCAGAGTGGGCGCTGCAGACACTACTGATCTGTCTTCTGCTTCTTGCTTTCAACCTCATCCTGAAAACCGAGAAGATCGAGGTTAGAGGTGATGCTGCACAAAATTACAACACCGCTATTGATGTTTTGTTATCCCCCTTTTCACAAGTAAAAATGAATGTTTGCCAGCAGGTTAACAAAACATATTTCAAAGACGTGCTCTGAACTTTTCTATCCCTCACTAAAAAACGTTTCAGGTAAAGATAACATCCATCCAGATACGTGTTAAACAGGACATTGTTTTATGTTTTTATTATCATTATTATTATTATTATTATTATTATTTAAAGGAATCTTAGATAACTGTTGGATTATGCACTGTAAATCTGTAGGGTTTTTATAATTTGAAACTATACAGAAAACTGAGCTAAAGTTTCAAATATATGATATTTTGAGTATCAAATCTGGGTTCAGGATAAATAACACTGAAGCCCTTCAGTGTGACTGATCTGCTGTAACCCTAACTGTTCTTGCTGTTTTTAGCATAAAAAGCTGCTCCTGTAAGCTGGACACATCCTCACATCGTCATCGTCATCGTCATCAGCTGCTCTCTTCCCCCTCGGTCCATCAATGTCATCTTCTTCATCGTCCTCCTCGTCACCTGAATACAAAAAGATAAAGCTTGTTAGAATGAAACAGTAGAACAAATCGAGGCTTCAGTTCAGTATTTTTCACCCCACCTGGATCACACTGTGACTGCTGTGACTTCTAAACAGATGTCTTGTCAAACTTTATCAATAAATAATGCAGACAAATTTCTATCTACTTACGTGAATAATTGGTCTTATGTGTAGTTATCCATCGTGTGTATGATTCATAATTTAGATATGTAGCAAACCCTTGGCCTTCTCTCAATAAGCTTCACGATGTAGTCACCTGAAATGGTTTTCACCTCACAGCTGTGCCTTGTCAGGGTTCATTTGTGGAATTTCTTGCCCCCTTAATGGGGTTGGGACCATCAGTTGTGTTGTGCAGAAGTTAGCTTGCTACACAGCTGAGAGCCCTATTTGACTACTGCATATTATGGCATGAACCAATCCGCTAAGTACAGAGAAACAACAGTCCATCGTTGCTTTAAGAAGTAAAGGTCAGTCAATCTGGAAAATTGCTAAAACTTTGATTCTGTCCCCAAGTGCAGCCGTAAAACTATCAAGCACTATGACTAAACTGGCTTACACGAGAACCTCCCCAGGAAAGGAAGACCAAGAGTCACCTCTGCTGCTGAGGGTATATATTTCTGAGTCACCAGCCTCAGAAATTGCAAGCACCTCAGATTAGAGCCCAGATAGAGAGACTGCATGTATCAGGCCTTTATGGCCAAATAGCTGCTACAAAACCACCACTCAGGAAAAGCAACAAGCAGAAGAGATCTGTTTGGGCCAAAAACAAGAAGGAATGGCCATTACACCAGTGGAAATCTCTGCTTTGGTCTGATGAGTCCAAATTTGAGATCTTTGGTTCCAACCATCGTGTCTTTGTGTGACACAGAAAAGGTTGAATGTTGAATCCTCACCCTATCTCTAAGAGAGATAGGGTGAGGATTCATTTCCCCCATTTGGATCTGTGATCTCATTCTTTTGGTCACTACAGCTTGTGACTGTGGGTGAGGGTAGGGACGTGGTTGACCAGTAAATTACAGACCCAATATCTGATTTACAAACATGAGGACTGAAAATTTCCAGTTTATCAAACACCACTGAGCAGTCCTTACCTTTAAATCGAACCTTTCCTCTTTCATATCTTTCTCCATCTCGGAGTGAAGTTAGCTCTCTTTCTTTTCTCTCCCTGTGTAATACAGCAGCTGAACCTTTAGCTAGCAACACACTGTGAGACAAGCTGCACACAAGCATCTGTGTTTGCTGATGTTTGTTGAGCTCAAAAACATTCAAAAATGTTGGGAGGTGTTACAAAAATCCAAACTCCTAAAATGACCCCAACACTAAAAACAACGCCACGTCTGCTTTTTCCTCTCACCTCTGCATTATATTGATTGACATGTTTTGTTGTTGTTCTGTTTCATCACCTCTTTGCTCAGCATGGCATAAAAAAAACCTACCTTCTCTATCCTCCTCCTCTTCGTCGCCCACATCCTCCTCATCCTCCTCTACCTCATTGTCTTCCTCACCATTTTCCTTTTCCTGACACGGTGAGACAGATTTATGTTGGTCACCAGTAACACACAAGGACTATCCACGTCCTAAAAGGTGCGAGAGGCGTTAACAGGAGCTGTTCTTACATTTTTGCCATTGGCAGCAGAGTCTTCTCCATTCTCTGTCTCTTCAGTCTGTTTCTTCTCCTTCAGCTCCTGAAACAAAACATATTCTCAGACATGCTGGCCCACTTTTATGAATGCAGGAAGAGCACATGATTAAATGAGATGACCTAATGACCAAGTGTGATCTCAGCATAACTCACTTTATGGTTTCAGAAAATTTTTTAGGAAAGATTATTTAGTTTAGAAAGAGAAAATTGAGCAAAAATGAGAAAAAGGTAAATATAAATTGCATTGACTTAAAGTTTAACTAAATACGACATCTGTCAAAAAACTAATGTAGTTTTGTTTTTTTGTTTTTTTGTTTGTTTTTTTTAATTGAACTTTTAATTGCAAAGCAGGAAAACAGCAGTCACCAGCATATACATACACAGGACAAAGATGCATCTACATGTATGGCAGGACGTGGGAGGCAGAAAGAAAAACCCAACAGCAATAGTAATAAACAATGAAAAAGGTTAACAATCGTCCCTTTGTTGCCAGGCTAAATCCCGTAAGCCCGATTTCAACCTCTGAGCAGAAGGAGTGTCCAGATAGGCCAAAAAAGGGTCCCGGTAGAAAAGGAAAGGTTTGTCCTTAAGTGCCGTAGAGAAGGCTTCCATTGGCACAATACTTATCACAGACTGTAGCCACTGGTTGACAGATGGAGCCTTATCAGAAATCCACAGTAAATGGTAAATGGCCTGTATTTATATAGCGCTTTACTAGTCCCTAAGGACCCCAAAGCGCTTTACATATCCAGTCATCCACCCATTCACACACACATTCACACACTGGTGATGGCAAGCTACATTGTAGCCACAGCCACCCTGGGGCGCACTGACAGAGGCGAGGCTGCCGAACACTGGCGCCACCGTGCCCTCTGACCACCACCACAGTACCATAATGCACTTTCGAGCGTAGTGTAGCAGTATGTGAAGGAGATCTTTGCTGCGAAAGCCGGCAGGTAGCTCATCATTTAGTCCTAACAAGCAAGTCCTTGGACCCAGATGCAGTCGGCAATTAAATATAACACATAGCTTATCTATGAGTGATCTCCAAAACTGTAGAATAACAGGGCAGCTCCACAGACAATGAAAAAAGGAACCAACAGCAGACTGACATTTGTAACAAAGATTAGGCAAAGCTGGAAACATAATGTGCCTCTTCTCGGGTGTAATATAAAGCCTATTTATAAGTTTAAACTGCCTCTCCCAAATAGAATTAGATGCCAAGGCTTTGAAAGGACGACAACACAACTCATCCCAAGCCTCAGCATCTATAGCGCCTACATCTGATTCCCATTGGCCCTTGATTTTGTTAGAGTTATCCATTCTAAGATCAGACAGAATGTTATAAACCTTTTCAGTGATACATTTTAGTTGGGTAGTTTTTACCATGAGTGATTCTGTGGGAGAAAGACCAAACCCTCCATTAAAATCCTTCAATTTAGAAGTAATATCGTGCTTTACCTGAAAGTACTTCAAAAAATCCTTATTGGTCAGACCAAACTTGCTTTTCAGTTGATTAAAAGTAAGAAGAGAGTTCTCATGAACAAGATCACCCACTGTATTAATCCCTTTTTGAGACCAGTCCGCAAAACCAGCCCGAAGACCAGGTAAGAAGTCAGGGTTTTCATGAATAGGAGTAAGTAGGGAGAAACAATTAAAATATCCTTCCAGGCGCCTGACTTTGCGCCAAATAATGAGCATATTCTTTAGCACCATATTATCTTGTGTTAGAACTGTGGCTTTACCTGAGGAAATATATAGCAGGTTCCGCAACGGAATGCCCTTTAAAGAAGTGGACTCAGCGCTGAGGTAAATAGAATCCGGATCGTCCATAAACCATTCTGTAAGAAATTTAAACTGTGCAGCCAAGAGGTATTGTGGGAAGGAGGGAGCGGCAAGACCGCCTTTCTGAACAGGCAAACACAGAAAACTGTATCTCAGCCTAGGTCTTTTCTTACGCCATATAAAAGAAATAATTGAACCATTTAATTTTGACAAAACCTTTTTGGACAGAGCAAGCGGTAACATCTGGAATAAATACAAGAGGCGAGGGAGGATATTCATCTTGACCAGGTGAATACGACCTAAGAGAGACAGAGGGAGGCTGCACCACCTACCCAAATCGCGATTGATGGTCTAAATCAAAGGGGTGTAGTTCAGACTATACATTTCTTTTAGATTCGGTGAAATCTTTACCCCTAAATAAGTGAAACCGGAGTAATGTAGTTTTTTAAAGAAAACATTTTCTTAAATGCAAAAATAGATAAATGATCTAAAGTACTGTAATGTCAAATGATATAAGGTATACATGCAACATAATACATAAAATAAAACTGTCTGTTAGGCTTTCTTACGTTAACAGTGGGAAAAGGTTCTGACAGTGTTGTATCTGCTGGATGACATAGATTAGGTATGTGTTCATGAGTATGTGACTTTGTGCAGGTGTGTGTCTGCATGTTTACATGTGCAAAATGATTGAGTGAGTTTGTTTTTAAGCCTTTAAAGGAGCATGTGGCAGCGGTGAAGAAAAGTGAGCATATGCACATTCTGAAGATTTTGTCCTGCTGAACACAACATTATGATGCTGCACATGTTAATAATTAATGTCAGTAATCATTTGGTGCAACGTAACAGCCCCAGGCCAGTGGCTCATGATCCACAACATTTTTATCAGTCTGTGGGGGAAAAAAGCTTTTCATTTTATATTTTTAAATATTAAAACAATTTCATTAACACAATATTTTATAATATTTCACTTTAAATCTGAAAAATAATGTTACAAAAGCTTCAAATAAATACTGTCTAGTACACCTCATGGCCCCCTTTAGACTCAGGTGTTGCAGGTCACCTGCAGCAGCCTAATCTAAACGTGGTATCAGACTAAGTGAACAGTTCATCTGCATATTTTAATGTAGCCGTACGTCTGTAGCTTAACTGTAGATTTGTTGCTGTGTAGAACAAAGAGCCGTGGATGGAGCAGCTACAGGGTTTGCTTTTCTTTACATTGGAGTTTGTTGATCAGGTTCTTTGATGACGGGCTCCTGCCAGCTTTACCCATTGAAGGTTTTAATGGTCATTACAGCTAGAAAAAAGTTTTCACTCCAGCTGAGCTCAATGTGTCGTCTCCTCTTTGCCCTTTGTAGTGCACAGTGTAGACAGACATCAAGCCAACGTTAACATGTGACATTATCATCACTGCTTCTGTTGTGTTACCAGGCTTTCTGTTGAAACACTGGGCTCTGCGTGGGCTTTATGTTGTCGTACTTTTTACTCACATGCATGCTTCTAAATACGTTTCTATTGCAGGTCTATTTTTTGTTACAAATGTGGGCGAGCGTTACAGTACGGAGGAGTATTTTTGTTTTCTTTTGTTTCTTTTAAACAAAATGTGCAGATTACAGTTGTTTACAGGCTAGCTTCCACAGCTCCTATACCCTCTACAAAATGTCTTGTGTGGTTGAGTTAGTGAAACAAATTGATCGACCATCTTGTGACACAACCTACATCCTCTGTATTGCACATGGTGTAACCATCGATATCCTTGCACCTGTCCACTGCAGCCACTTCATTTTTTACAAATCTGTCCAACTCTTCCCTGACCAGATGCAGCTTTCTGCACCATCTTTTCAACATTGGAGTGGATAGACTGTAAAATCTAATTAGTTCACAAAACTTAAAAAAATTTAATCAAATATGCAAACTTATTGCCTAAAAAAAAAAAAAAAAAAAAAAAAAATAACGAAAAGAAAAACATACAAAAAGCTTATTTAAAATAACCAAGTTAGGGCAACTTATTAATTATGAGTACATTGGTCATAATTAGTTCTTACAGAGTTTTAAAAAAAAAAATATGCAAGCTCGTTGCCTCAAAAAAGAAATAAGCGTACTTAAGATCACCAACTTAGGACAGCTTCTTCATTGTGAGTACACAGCACTAAGAATATCTTGGATTTTCTGAACAATAGTAAATGTTTGGTCAATGACAAACATTTCAAGATCAATTATATTAAAAAAAAAAAAACTTCTGAAAAAAAAAAAAATTGTGGTAAGTTACTATTTTTAATTTGTCTACATACAAACTGAATGCAACTAAAATCACATTGCTTTTTATATTCCTTGAGTTTAAGAGATTTCTAGTTCAACAACACTCAGATATAAACACTGTCAGTATAATTAAAAACACTTCTCGTAATGTAGTTAAAATCAGCCCAACTTTTATTTTCAAACGCAAAAAAGTATATCAGCCAACATACTGGACACTGTTCTGCTGAACAACAAACAAGTATACTGCCGCTATAGTAGCCTGTGTTATTGAATTTTATTTTAAATATTACCAAATGTAAATTTCATATTTATTTGTTACACAATTTAAAGCTTTAATAACCGTATAATGAAACAAAGTCCTAGTTTCAATTTCTGTCTATCTATCAAATGTTCAGTGTAGTCTGTAGCTCTAACACCACATTTGTTGTGCATTTAAACACACAAGCTTGTAATACTTTAAGGATGTGAAGGTCCTGGCATTACTTTCAAAATGACTGTCATAGATTTAGGTGATTCAAATATAAGTGCCTGAAGAAAGTCTTTAACATTGTCCCAACATCCCCGTACAGTGGCAGTGGATGTGGGTTGGAGATCCAATGACCTTGAAGATGCAGGTGACCATCTTCACTGACCACACCATCTGTGACGGAGGACTCATCTCTCCTTGCGTTCTGCAAGGAAACAATCATATTCTTTAGAACTCATTCATTCTCTTCCGCTTATCCTTTTCAGGTTGGCGGCGGGAGGCTGGAGATAATCCCAGCTACCATAGAGAGGCAGGGTTCACCCTGGACATATCGCCAGTCTGTCACAACACATGAGACAGGCAACCATTTACACTCTGATTCACACCCACTTGCACTTTCGAATAACCAATTGACCTAACCACATGTCTTTGGTCGTGGGATAGTCCGGAGTACCTGAAGAGAACCCACGCCAACACGACCATGCAAACTCCACACAGAAAGGCCCTGGCCAGGTGGCGGAATCGAACTAATCACCGCGCTGCCCATTCTTTAGAACACCAAGTTATATTTGCTCTTAAAACATTTTTTCTGCATTTTAGACAATCAAGTTACATTATTACACTGTTTTCAAAAAATCCCGTCAATTTGATATAACCAATTATGCCATCCATCCATTTTCTTCCACTTATCCACAGCTGGGTCGCGGGGGCAGGGGCCTAAGCAGAGAACCCCCAGACCGCATGTCCTGGGTCTGCTCTGGGGCCTCCTCCCGGTGGGACACGCCCAAACCACCTCGACTGGCTCCTTTCGATGTGGAGGAGTAGCAGCTCTACTCTGAGGATGATTGCAGCTGTGGCCCCAATCCATCTGCCAATCTTTTGTTCTTCTCTCTGCTCATTTGTGAACAAGACCCCAAGATACCTAAACTCTTCCATTTGGGGCAGCAACTCGTCCTTTAGCCAGAGTGGACGCTCCACCCTTTTCCAGCTGAGGACCATGGCCACAGATCTGGAGGTGCTGATTCTCATTCCCGCCACTTCACACTCAGCTGTGAACTGCTCCATTGCGAGGCGGAGGCCACCACCTGGCTAACCAAGGCTGGTAGGACTCTTCCTTCAGCTTGATGCCTCCCTTCTGAGATTACCACCACGACAGGCACCAACCACCTACCGGCCGCAGCTCCTTGCTGCAGCAGCATCAGCTATGGAGGTGCAGAACATTGTCCATTTTGACTCAATGTCCCCACCCTCCCTTGGAAACTGTTGAACTGGGATATTAAGATCTCCTGAACTGGGGCTTCTGGCAGGCATCCCATGTGCAGCCTATATGCTTGGGTGTGACAGGTCTGTCCAGCATCCTCCCCCACCACCTGATCCAACTCAGTTGAGTTGATAGCTCAAACGTTCAGACTTCGCTATATACTGTACAGACATTGTGGTACCTCTAAACTAAGTTTGTGAGATATAATCTTTCAAGAAATGCAGCCCAAACTGTTGTTTGTATTTACTTACACAACATGTCTAATGAAATGTACACAAAGTCCTGCTTTAATGCGTCTGAGGACAACAGCATAATGCAGTCATATCTGAGGACTAATAACAGAAAGCACGAAAAGCTTGGTAAAGAAACAATTTCCCAAAGCCAAAGAATAAATTAGAGGAGTAAAACAGGTTGGTCTAAAGTATGATTAAACATTTAGCATGGTTGATATAGATGACACTGAATATTACTAATCTACTGGAAAACAAAAAATACTTACCACTCAACTGATGTCTGTCCAACAGCTCCTTTTCTAGACTTGCAAGAGTTCAGTGTAATGTGGGCAATCATTAAACTCTTTTAGTCTAATGACAATTCTGCAAACTCTCTGAGAAATCTCTGACAAAGTAAAAAGAAAAAAGAAAGAAAGAAAACAAGAATAAAAACCAGCAAATTATTCAGAAGCAGATTAGATGCCTAATGGCTGTGCAACCATAGATAACTTACAACATAAAGTTCTGTTGTTTACAACATAGAACTTAATGTTGTTAAAGTTGTTACTTGTTACAGTTTCTTGTTACAGTTTCTAATAAGCAAGATGACCAGATAAAACTTGTGGCTGTGTTTATATCTAACACAGGCTACCCCAAAATGTTTCTGGATGTCTTAAATTTGACTTTCACAACAAAACTTGTATACAAATACAGTTTTTAGTAAAAAGTAATGGTATTAAGACTACTTTTTTAAAAATGTAACTAAGCAGAAATGTTGCTAGTTAAATAGAATAGAATAGAATTCAACTTTATTGTCATTGCACATGCACAGGTACAGGGCAACGAAATGCAGTTTGCATCCATCCAGAAGTGCTTTAGTGATATAGATATATTACAATATATATTAGCAATAGTATAGATATGTAAGTATACTACAGAAATGGGTCTATTATGGTATGTTATAATGTACACGGTATGAAGTATGTTGTGAATATTCTATAACTAAGTATGTAAAGGCTGTAGTGAGTACAAGCTATGTACAGGCTATGAACAGGATATAAATATGAAAAACTATACAGAATATGAAATAAATAACTTTACAGAAATCTGAGATATACAGCTATACAGAAATGGGAACTGTAAAAGCAGTAATGTAAAAGCAGTTTGTTTATGTTGATAAAGAATGGCTAGATTTGACATTCACAGATGCCGCAGATGTAGCCATAAAGCATTAAAACAAATGCAGGAGTTTGAATACATGCTTGTAAATTATTGTGCTTTTGCCACCTAACAGTTTGTGTGAGGTGAAAACATGACAACGCTGCTAAGAGGCAAGGCAAGGCAAGGCAAGTTTATTTGTATAGCACAATTCAACAACAAGGTGATTCATAGTGCTTTACAGAGACATTAGAAACAAGAACAAATAAAAAGCATGATTTAAAATTGAATAAAACAAGCAAATAAACTAACTAACTAATTAACAAACAAACAAACAACAGTATATAAAATCAAAACAGATAAAATCAGAACAGTAGATAAAATCAGTAGTTAAATGTAAGTTTTGAAATTTAAGCTTAAAGTGTGGATTTGGTGCTTTATTCAAATGCAGCTGAGAACAGGTGAGTCTTCAACCTGGATTTAAATAAACTGAGTGTTTCAGCTGATCTGAGGCTTTCTGGGAGTTTGTTCCAGATATAAGGAGCATAAAAGCTGAATGCAGCTTCTCCGTGTCTGGTTCTGACTCTGGGAACTGATAAAAGACCGGATCCAGATGACCTGAGGGATCTGGAAGGTTCATACTGGGTCAGGAGGTCATTGATGTATTTTGGTCCTAAACCATTCAGAGCTTTATAGGCCAGCATCAGAACTTTAAAGTCTATCCTCTGACGGACAGGCAGCCAGTGTAAAGACCTCAGAGCTGGACTGATGTGGTCCACTTTTTTGGTCTTAGTGAGGACTCGAGCAGCAGAGTTCTGAATGAGCTGTAGTTGTCTGACTGATTTTTTAGGTAGACCTGTAAAGATGCTGTTACAGTAATCAAGCCTACTAAAGATGAATGCATGGACTAGTTTTTCCAGGTCCTGTTGAGACATCAGATCTTTTATCCTTGATATATTCTTGAGGTGATAGTAAGCTGACTTTGTTATTGTCTTAATGTGTTTCTCTAAGTTTAGGTCTGCATCCATCACTACACCCAAATTTCTCTTCTGGTTTGTGGTTTTTAGATGTATAGATTGAAGTTCTCTGGTGACCTGTAATCGTTTTTCTTTGGCGCCAAAGACCATTACCTCAGTTTTGTTTTTGTTTAGCTGGAGAAAATTGTGGCACAACCAGTCATTGATTTCCTCAATGCATTTACCAAGAGCCTGTACAGGGCCTCGGTCTCCTGGTGACATTGTGATATATATTTGTGTGTCATCTGCATAGCTGTGATAGTTTTTTTTGTTGTTGTTTATAATCTGTGCCAGTGGGAGCATGTAGATGTTAAACAGAAGGGGTCCCAAGATGGAACCTTGGGGAACTCCACATGTGATACTTGTCTGCTCAGATGTGAAGTTACCTATTGATACAAAGTATTTCCTGTTTTCTACGTATGTTTTGAACCAGTTTAGTACAGTTCCTGAAAGACCTGTCCAGTTCTCCAGTCGTTTGAGTAATATGTTGTGGTCAACTGTATCAAATGCTGCACTGAGATCCAGTAAAACTAGGACTGACATTTTTCCACTGTCTGTATTCAGACATATGTCATTAAACACTTTGGTCAGAGCAGTTTCAGTGCTGTGGTTCTGTCTAAAACCTGACTGGAAGGCATCGTAGCAATTATTCTGTTTTAAGAAGTAACTGAGCTGTTGAGAAACTGCTTTTTCAATGATCTTACTTAAAAACGGGAGATTTGAGATCGGCCTGTAGTTGTTCATTTGTGTCTTGTCAAGAGCTGCGAAAACGTCTCGTCTCTTATCTAATGATTTATAAGCTCACCTTTCCCATTTCGAATCAACAACAGTTAGTTTCACTGAGAGAAATGTAAACGAAAAAGTTAAAGCTGCAGGGTTTATGTTTTTTTAACCAACAGAAGCCGAGAGGCGGCAGCATGCTACAAGGCTAGGCTAACACTGGCTAGCAAGTTTATAAACCTGACACTGCAAGAAGGCAGAAAAAGTAAATTATTTACTCACCAAATCAGCACACCTCCTATAAGAATCACAGTAATGCCAACAATAACCACTTAAGCTGAAGCTTCTCCAGCTGCATCCAGGTTTGCTCATCATAGTCCAGAAACAAAAAACATACATGCCATGAAAGTGGAGGAGGAAAGCAGCCACATGGCATTTTTAAACCACATCATCTTATCCTTCCACTGAAGGAAGACTGCCTTTTGCAATTTCTCTGCAAAGTCATGCCATGATGAATTAAAACAAAATAAAATGACCATTTCACATGGTTTTAACTGGTTTAGTAGGCATTTGTATGACCTAAGATGCATGTTCTCAATATAGTTCTTTGTTTTTGTGTAGAAACAAAAAAAACAAACAAAAAAAAAATACTAGGAATAAAAAAGCAATGAGAAAAAGCAAATCAAAAATTTATTAATTTTTTTTTTTTTAGCTGTACAGCTGGGTGACTTTATATAAAATTACAATAGTGATACAAACTGTCAGATAATGAAGTATCTGAAGTACAATTTCATTAAGTCACCTACACAGAGGGTATGGCAGCCATGGCAGTTTGCCTTGAAAACAACAACCGTGATCTCCACATTTCAGCTTTCCTCAAAATAATAAGGAAACACCACAGAGAAAGCCTCTCATCACCACAAACCAAAAGATTAGACAAAAGACTAATTACCGCATCATCATTATTTATCTATGCCTAAAACAAATAGAAAACAAATACTCAAAGTGAATATTTTTGTCAGTATGAGCGCAAAACCTTTCGGGTTTTTCCCTCCTGTCCTCACCTCTGTGGAAATGGGATGCCAGTTATCGTTTACAAACACAGTGCTTCGACGCTTTAAGTTGCAGTTGGCTGGAAAAACAAAAGTTATTTTTAACAAAGTAGTTTTCGGTGCCTTTCATGAACGCTCACTCTGCTTTCCAGTAGCACGCTCTAAACAGAGCATATTTACATGAATGCAGCATTTCACAGGATTCCTTCTAAACATGGCTGAACAGGACTACAAATCTATTCTTCACTCGTGAAATTGGGGTACATGATGCTCTGTGCTGAGTTTGCATAATAAAACGCGCGTTTGCACCCTGCCACTCCAGGTCTTTGGAGTGGTTTTCCAGTGTCTGTGTGCTAGTTTAAGTGCTTGATGAGTTGTTGGACTGCCTCTGTGTAGTTAAGAGACTGAAATAATCTCCATGTCTCTCATCTTATCTGATTGCCATAAATAGTTCTTAAAACACTGAGCCTTTGCCTTGGGTTTGATAACTAAAGGCTCCACATTAAAACGAGTGGATTAGACTGAAATTTCTACTTACTCTGAATTATTCTTAGACACTACACTAGGTTATCCAACTAATTAGGCTGCTTTTGAAGGTGTAATGATTATTCAATTGACCTGAGGTCTGCTGATGTAAGAAGGGCTGATTACATTTGCAAAGAGCATATTATGAACAGCACATTATGATTGGGAGCTGAGCCCCCCTAAGAGTTTGAACCTAGAATGGCACCTGGTTAGACGAAAGGAAGGCTTCCACCCCTCGTGGAGCGCGCGAGTCGGCTTGCAGACAGACATGCACAGCTTCACGGGCACGGCTCGCGCGCCAGCTGTTTGAATTAGCGTGTACCTGTAGAACACCCTGCGCCGCGTCGCTCGCTGTCAGCCTTTGTTTGAAATGGAGCTGCTCGGAAACAAACTGAGCAGAAACCACCAGCGTCCCCTCGGCATCACTCAGTACTACAGTACCAGCGGGTACACGAGGCGCGAGGAAACTGAGACATTAAAGAAAACTCGGTTAAAGAAGGAGAGAGGCCCGAGGGTCGGGCACAGCAGCCTGCCTCCACCGTGACGACACGCTCCCAGCTCCGCTGAGGGCCACAGTAGCAGTGAGGTGGAGCTCCACATGCATAAACTCAGATTATTGCTCGATCGCGTCACTGGAGTTACAGACAACACAGAGCTGGACAGTTAGAAACATGCGTGTCCACGCCGTTTCACCGCAGCGGAACTACCATTTGCTTTTGTGAATGATTACACGAATACGTATCAGAAGCACTAACAATGAAGCCGATATTTACTATGTTAAACCAAAACCAGAACAGTAGTTTAACAAGACTAGATGTGGCTCTGTGATAGTCCCGCGGTCGTGAATGGAAACACTCGGTGCCGGGCGGGAGATAACCCACTCTGCTATCCTACCTCCATCCCTGAAGGTCTTTATTTGCTTTCGGTCACTGCTTCGACTTCTAAACGTTCCCCAAACAGTAAAAGTAATAGTTCTGCGCGCCTCAGCCGGTTCAGTTCCCTCAACTATCCGAGAGTTTGGCGACAGATCGGGACAGCCCTCACAGAACACACACCTGCATTGACGAGTACAGCGGCCGTATATGTAGTTTGTGAAATGACAGACAGGCATCCTACAATCTCTGCATGTCTGACTCTAAATGAAACTGGGAGGCGGTATTAAGCTGCCCACCGAGGAAGCTTAGAAATGTTCCCTGTGCCAAAACTAGTACCTTAATAAGCCCGTCTTTATTCCTCATCCATTAGCTCCGATCCTTCAGTACATATGTCAATGGATGACAAATGTGTAGATTTATATTAGAATTTCGTGCATACAAGCAGGTCATAATGAATATCATCTAGAAAACTGGTAGTCTTCTTTTTCATACGCACTGTGCTTAAAATAGAAAAATTAGTAACATGTTACAGTTATAAATGGAAGCAAGAGTTAGAAAAAGCATCGTGCCCTGTCTCCTTCTATTGTCCTTACCTTGGTGCTCAGTTCTCCGCTGCTTTCCACCTGGCTGTCTGCCATATTAGATATATAAAAGGAAATTATTAATATCCAGTCAGAATATAGCAAAAAATGAAAATGAACGTATTGTAATTATTCCAGCTGCTGTGTTAAGATAATCGTTGCGCTGTCAGCTGCTTGTCCGCCAGCTGGAGCTCCCTTCTTTATAGAGCAGTGGGCGGAGAAGGGTGTCCAGAAGCGAACTGTGATTGGTGGTTTGGCTTTGACAATGTCCAGCCTACTATTGGCGAGGGGAAAACAATACCCAGCCCTCCTTGTGAGTGTGTGTGTGGGTCCTGACATTGATACACTATAAATCTCACACATGCTGTGTTGCACACACACACAGTGCATGTTTAACTTGAACAATTTCACAAGCTAGAGCCTGCACTTTATACTTCATACTACAATATCGTGGCTCAAGAGTTGGGAGTTCGCCTTGTAATCGGAAGGTTGCCGGTTCGAGCCCCGGCTTGGCAGTCTCGGTCATTGTGTCCTTGGGCAAGACACTTCACCCGTTGCCTACTGGTGGCGGTCAGAGGGCCCGGTAGCGCCGGCAGCCATTGAGTCCCTGAGGACATGTCAGTGGAGTGCAAATGTGTAGATTTATATAATTATATTAGAATTTCGACGCTTTACTATACAGACCATTTTACTGTCATACATCTGCTGTTCAGTTGTGTAAGAAGCATCGCCTAATTACGCGTATTGAAAGGAGCGATGCTGAGGTAAAATACCCCAACAGCATAATGGGCAGGCACCTAGATTTTACTTCAGTAAAAGTACTAAAGTATTTCCAGTGTCATTTAAAAAGCTGTCATCATGCTATATTACACTACTTCTATTATTATTATTATTATTATTATTATTATTATCATTATTATTATTATGCAATAAGATTTTCTTTGACTTTTTTTAAAGGAATAATGCAATCAGTTTCTCTCAGTACTACATGTATGAATTGTATGTGTAGTGGTTGTTATATATTCTTAGCCTACGTGCCAAGATGTGCCAAGATCGCATTTTATGTTCGTTTTTTTCGTAACTGACTATTGCTTCTATTGTCTTTCTATTTGTTCCCAGTTATAGTACTTCTGTATAAGAATGGGAAAGAGAAAGGCTGGACAAGGTAGCGAGATATAGAGAGGAGGGAGAGGAGGGAGGACGGAAGCTTGGTGGCAGGATTGGAAAGGCGTTATGGATCCAAAGGAGGAGAAAGTGTGAACATATTAATATGAGAATATTCTCTGTGGACAGGGCTGCATTTTTTTATTTTTTATTTTTGGACATTTTCATAATGCGTAGTAGGTTCTTTACTATTAAAGGAAATATTCAATAATCCTAGTAAGACGTTAATACTGGAACTACAAAGTGAAGAAGAACGCTACACTGATTGAATCCGTCCTGTAATCAGGATAGCTTGCATTAAAAATCCCACAGAGGGCTTCGGGGGCTTCCCTCACCAACATGGCGAGTCTTGGAGTCCGTATTGCGTCTTGAATGTTTAACATTTGTCCTGATTGGTTAGCAAACCGGAGTTAACGTAAAACTGACGCTTTGCGCCATGTGAGTGGCTGACAGAGCTGCCAATCACGCAGAGCCGCTTATGAAAGTGTGCGCGCTGTCGGGCAACAGACAAAGACAGGAGCGAATCGGAAGCAGGTGGACGGGCTGTTTCTGAGCTGCTCTCAGGCCTCAGAACTCAAATGAAAGAACCTGAAATAACGCATTTCGTACTTTTAAATTAAAGTTACGTAATGTTTGAACACATTACAGAGCAAACTATGAACCAGTATGTAACAAAAGGAGAGATCCTTAACACACGGTTAAATTCTTTTGTCTTTTTATATCGTCTGTGTCACTTTTCATCAGAGACATCCCAGAGGTCTTGGAGGTGGAGAAGAAATTCCAAATATGAGCGATCAGATGGTTGCAGTGGGCACAGCAATCCTGGAAGAACCAATGTGGTCGATCTCCATCTCTGCTGAGACTGCAGATGCTTGGCTCAGAATTTGGCTTGAACAGCCCATAGGGCCAACCTGGCCTGTATCAACAGTCTGGCTGTTGTTGACAATGTAAAAATAATAATATGGGCAATGTTTTCTTGGATCATTTTAAATACCAACAAATCATTGTTGCTGGTTTTACTGCCACAACCTACCCTTTTCTAATGACCACCTGAGTGCCCCTCCAAGTCACAATCATGTAAATAGAGAAAACAATAGTACCAAGCATTCTAACCAGTGGGTGGTATGAAGGAGGATGCAATTGATGTTTCTTTCGGAGTAATTAATGTTTGATTTTAATTAGGGCTATAGAGTAATCCATCGATTAACCAAGAAATCACATAAGAAATACTTTTGTCTTATTAATGAGCCTTTGGAAAGCTTCATCAAATACATATTATATAAATAATATACAATGATTACTGTCATATAGATAACAGAAAGCGAGAAAGACCAAGACTGGTGGGTGAGCTCCATTTCCTCACATCAGCAGAGAGAGCGTGGCACACTGTGATGTATAATAATTCAAATATGTCAATAAAAACCGACTCTGCTTTCAAGAAGAAAAATAACACAGGAGGGTTTTTTAGCTCTGATTCTGTCTGGTCTCTAGTTTTTTTCTTGAATTGTGCAGGGCTTGTCTGCATCTTACACTTGGTATACGTGACATGACCTGAACATAGGACAAGGACTATCAAAATAAAACAGGAAGCACAACAAATAGTCAGACGTGGACGAAGACACACAACCTTAATGCTGGGAACAGGGGGGCATGACTGATTTGGAGAGACAGAGAGGGCACCTGGAACATGGAGTCAGAAACCTAAAGACTAAAAACTATAACATAAGCACAAAAACAATAAAGAGAACCAAAACAATGACTGACACAAAACCAAGGAATATTAACAAAACTCAAAAAGACATGAACACTGGGTCACCACACCCAGGACCATGACAATTCCTCTGCAGATGATCAGTCAGCTGTTTGAAAATCACTCTTTCAACGATTTTTGAGATAAAAAAGAAGCTTGGAGCTTTTTAAGTAATGGTTTAAATACTGCCACCTTTCATGGTCTGTGGTACATAGACAATTATTATAGATAGGCTGATCATATTTAGGACTGAAACTTCATTAATGGTAGGACTTTTATGAGCAGTCTTGTATGAATGGGGTCTGAAAGACACATTGATGGTTTGGAGGACGTAATTACTGAAGTTGACTCAGATCAACTGGAGGAAAACAGTCTAAATGAATATCAACGCTACTGAAAGTAGCTGTACATAATTTTATGTCTGTGAGATGGTTATGAGTAATTTTGTCTCTAACCTCTTAGGACCTGACGTCCACATATGTGGACATCACATTTTGGGTTGTCTAGAACAAAATACTAAATTTTGCTCTGATATCCACTCATGAGGACATACTGCCACTGTTCTATCGACGTTTTAAACGAATGTCTTCATATGTGGATCTCATTTTTCTCAGAAACTAAAATCAGGTAATTCTTTGTTTTTGCATTCATCAGGTCCCAATCAGCCCAAACAGCAAAGAGAAATTAAAAATGCATGCCATGAAAGAGTTCAGGTCTTAGGAGGGTAATGGTGAAAATGATATCTGGGAAGAAGTTCATGAAGTCATTACAAGTTTATGTTAAAAGGATGTTTGTCTCAACAGCGCTCTGGCTACAGCGATGAAGAGAAACTTAGGGTTGTTCTTATTTTCTTCAATCAGTGATGAATAGTAAGATGTTCTGGCTTTGCGAAGGGCTTTCTTATAAAGCAGCAAAGTGTTTCTAAATGATCTTCTACATTTGTGATACGCCATTTTCTCTCCAGCTTACGATTTAGCTGCCAGGGAGTCAGGTACTTCTGATTTTAAAGCTCTATTGTTCACAGGAGCTACAGTATCCAGTGTCATACGTAAAATTATTAACAAGATAATCAACCTCTGTTGGAGTAGTGTTCAGGTAGTGTTGGTACAAGGCATTGAAGAAGATAACTGTGGCTGAAATATATTCTTAAACTGAGTTAAAGCGCTTTGAGAAAGACATCTGTGATGAACTCTACTCCCCACTGCTGTGTGATCCATTCTTGTAAATTCACATGTTATTAGGAAATGATCAGACCAAAGAGGGTTTTCAGGAAACACTGTTAAATGTTCAGTTTCTATGTCATATGCCAGAACAAGATCTTGAGTGTGACTAAAGTGGTGAGTGGGTGCTTTGCCGTTTGCTGATAGAAATGTTGCATTTAAAATTACCTGATGGTTAAAAAACGTGACTCCCTTTATGCTCGCTCGTCTTCTACTAGGGGTTAAAAAAAACAAAACACAGTCCCACTTTAACACCTGACTTCCTGACTTTGAAAACACGGTTCTGACTCTCTCATCTTTTATGCGACATCCCCTGATGATTCATATACAAACAGGACTAACTTTTATGTGTTGCTGTTCCGCAAATTGGTAAAAGTAATGAGCCTGTTTTGAAAATGTAAGGAGTAGAAAGTTGAGATATTTGTTTAAAAATAGTTTTCGTTCCAGCCCAGACCTGAGGAGAGCAGCTGCTGGGCTTTGGGAGGGAATATTGTCCCATTCTCATCTTTCAGAGCACTGCAGCTGTTCAGCAGTCCCTGGTCTCCATTGGCCTTTTTCAGTTGTTCAAAGGTTTGCACTACAGACATGCCAGTTCAGCACCTGGACCTTTCTACTAAAAAGCCATTCTGTTTTCCAAATAGAAATAAACATTTTTATTCTCCTGACTTTAGAGCAGTTTTCCACTTTTCCTCAGTCCATTTTAAATGAGCTTTGATCCAGACAGGATGGCTGTGTATATTTTTTATTTATTTATTTACTGCATATAATTGTACTTTGAATTTGAAAGGTAACAAATGGGTATCAGTGTTCTGCATTTGCTACTAACACATTTACATTGGCTGACTGCACTGATGTTAAAGTTTTACTCATAACTAGCAGCGCATGCATTAATCACTGCTTCACAATTCCAGCCCCTATTTTCAGATACATTTCTACTTCCTTCCTCAAATCTCCTCTCCCTCTTCCACCATCACAGGATTGCTGTAATCCTATTTGAAATGGCGGATGAGACAAACATGGGAGGGAGGGAGAAGTGAGGCGCTGCAGAGGCTGCAGGGAA